TCTCTCTCTCTCTCTCTCTCTCTCTCTCTAATCGGCTTTCTCCCTTACCCTTCGGACGATTATACGTGCCCCCTCACCTTGACTTCACCAAGCCGCGAATACTACTACTTTATTGCATTAGGCACCTGCATATCTCTACCCTTTGGGTTTGCCGCCGGTACATTATAATCTTGTGGTTTGTGCCCTTGCTCCTTCAAGTCTCCACTCTTTCTTTCTTTTTTTTTCTTTTTTTTCTTCTTTCCCTCTTTCCACGCTGTCACTTGAGTTTCAAGAGGTGGGAAAAAAGGGAGACCTACGCACAGCGAAAAAGAAAGCAAAAGGAAGAGGCATAGGGAGGGAGATGGGGAGAGAAAAGTCATTAGTCCCGAATAGCAAACTCACCGAGAAATTTTTCTTATCTGGGACAGAAAGTCGCTGGGTTGTGCTATACCCCAATTCATTCCGCCTGCTGAGTCACGTACCATTCTCGCGTCACGTACCCAACGCCTCAACCCCTTTTCAGCATCGTTATCGCCAGAATTCCTCGACTCAACGCCCTCGATCACGCGTTTTCCACGCGATACTAGATCCAGGCCCCCTTTGTCTTCGGTTCTGTGAAATTTTTGGCGCGGAAAAGTCATGATTTCGACGCGTTTGCCCCCGTTAAAGATCCACCGAGATGCGCTCGGACCCTCCTCAGAACCCGGCTCGGCGTCGACCCCAACCTTCCCCCCCTCGTCAGCTTCCTCTAACCCCTTACAACTCACCAACGGCAACTTGCAGCCCATAATGTTCCGTCCTCCCATCGTCGGCCCTTCATCATCCCCTTCTAAAAAGAAGCTTCACTCCAGGCAGAACCAGGCCCTCAATCATCCAAAGCACTCGAGTCGTATCCCTTTGCCCAAGCGTGTGCTTCAGAATACCTTTGACCGGATATCGATGCCTCCACCGGAGCCCGACGCGTTCCCCACTGATTCCCCGTTGAAAAAACCCCCAGTCTCTGTATTCAATACCTCGCTCGCCCCGATGCCCGAAAAAACCCAGGCTGCCCTCTTCACCAGTTTCTCGTTCTCCAAGGCGAGCTTCGGAAAGGAGAATGTGTCGCCTGAGCCTAGATCCTCCGATGACCACCATGGTGGAAAGCCGTTAACGGGTCTGAAGGCGGCTCCTCGACGGGCATTGATGGAGGCAGCGCCTATCAAGGAGAAGAAGGTCCTGCGGGAGAAGAATATCTCACAGAACGCGTCTTCTTCACCACCAAAGGATGAGCCACTCGCCTGGGAACCTCCGGTTATCGTGGATGATGGAAGGAAGCCACCATACAGCTACGCCACCCTCATCGGCATGGCCATCCTCCGAGCCCCTTCGCAACGATTAACCCTCGCCCAGATATATAAGTGGATTGCGGACACATTCCTATACTACCGGACGTCGAATAATGGCTGGCAGAATAGCATTAGACACAACCTGTCTCTCAACAAGGCATTCGTCAAGCAGGAGCGTCCTAAAGATGATCCGGGAAAGGGAAATTATTGGGTTGTTGGAAGTGGTTTCGAGCATCAGTTTATGAAGAACAAAAATTCACGCAAGTCCGGATCGCACTCCAAGAAGAGTTCGGCTGCGTCAAAGGCCTTGATGTTGGAAGAGATGGAAAACTTGTCGCACCCTGAACCTATAGTCGAGATACATGTTGAGCATGCCGATTCCGCTGAGCACGCTGATAGTACGGATACTATTGAAGACAAGGAAGCGGCATTGGAGGAATTATTGACATTGTCGTCCGATGCAACTAGAAGTGCTAGTCCTGAACCACGACGAATGCCGGATGATGATGACGACGTGTTTCGACCATCTTCTCCCCACGGCAATGCTGCCACGCGATCATCTCCACCACCCCCTATCATGTGCTCTTCACCACCCGTCACCCGCAGCCAGATCCAACCACGTCGTGACTCGACCCCCCCGCCCATGTTCCCCTCTGCGGGCCGAAAGCGGAAGGCACCTCCCATGGGAGATAGTGGCTACTTTTCATCGCTGGAATCATCGGTTGTTAGGCCAACCATTGAGGAAGATAGACCCAGAATCAAGCGGGGCAGGGCTGAGGAGGATATCGCCCGTATCAGGCATTCTTCGCACGAAAGCCCCACCCGTAGGAATACCATTGGAGGGGGAATGAGTTTCCTGACCTCATCACCGATTCGGAATTACGACAACAACCCAATGCTTCCACCTCTGACCCCGGCCACCATGCTTCGCCCACGTAATCCACCAATGTCAGTTAGTCCGGCAACCAGTCTCCGAATTCACCGCGACCGTGTTAGACAGCTCGTGAAGTCACCATCCCGGGACATTGGCGTCCTGGAGGATAATCCCTGGGGCACCACCTTTGCGGAGCTCACGTCCGGCGGCTCCGGTATGGACAACAACGACAGCAGTGCACAGGACGACATCGAAACCATCGTTTCGAGAGCGTGCTTCGGATCTCCCGACAAGCGAGCGGACAAGAGGCGGGAAGTGCGGAGGAGTTACGACGGCGGATTACGCTCCGCGGATCTCCTCGGCGACGGTTTCCTCGAGCCCCCGGACGTCTTCGGCGTGGACGTTTTCGGCGTCATGAAGAGTGGCTATGAGAAGTTTACTACTGACGGATTTGGATCACCATCGGCGCCCGGGAGACCGGACTTGGGGAGGAGTCATACTACGGACTTTTGATAACGTTATAACCTTTTTTTTTTTTGGTTGAAAAGTAGTTGACATGCGTTTATGACCGAAACGATGGAATGTCTTTTCTTTTTGGAGTGGGCCTTTGGGGACAAAAGTAACACGGAGCGATTCCTTCATTGTCTTTTTTTTATTTTATTTTAACTTTTTATTATCCCTATTACTTGTTCCCCCTTATTCTTTCCATCTACCTTATCTACTCTTGTTCCTCATTCAGCCTGCCTCGTTCCATTCCATCTTATAACGACCCTGACGGCGCCATGACCAACAGCGGAAGGTTAAGAGGGCATCATTATCATATATCTATTCAGGCGTGCGTTTTCCCATTTCTTTCTTCTCTTTCCTCTTCCCCCCTTCAATTTCTCCTCAAGGGAGGGAGGGGAAGGAGAGTTCTTTGTTTTTCTTCCTTTTTTTTTTCCTTTTTGTTTCATTTCGTCGTTTAACAAATCCCGGGGTTCTTGGGTCTGGTGGGGGTGTTTTTTTTGTTGTTTTTTCCCTCCTATCAACCTGTCTGTGTTTCTTGGACCTTGTGGTGCTCGTTCCAAAAATTGTTCTTGTCTATTTGTCTGTCTGGGTGGCTCTCTGTTCATATCATTATTATCACTGTTCTATCTTATCCTATTTCACTGGCGAATACCCCTCTCCCGTTTGTGATTACTGTAACCTCTAACTGAACCTGTAATTTTCTTGCCTGTCGTGTGCCTTCTATGTGACTTATTTATTGCGTCTTTTCTGCCCATCTGCGGAAAGATGATGCATGGAGGTTTTTTGTTGGCCTTGTTTTTCTTGTTTTTATTTATCCACTTATTTTATTTACTTAGTTTGTTGGCTCGGACTGGACGGACGGTTGGTTTGGTGCGGTGCGGTACGGTATTGGAAAGTGCATAGCGGGATTCATCGTTTTTACTTGTTCACTTATTTATTTGTCCGAGCTTTGTGTAGTATCCTATCTATCCTATCCTACATTCATTTTAGTCTACCGGTATAGCCTACAGTGCCTTGTACTCGTACAAATCGGCAGTGGTGGGGGGGGTGGTTGGCAGTGAGCGATTATGCGTTCCGTACCCATCCAATACCTGCCACTTTGACACTTGCGTGTGGAACAGTACTGTATCGTACTTTACAGTACTGTATGGCATTGCAGCCACCAGCCATCACAAGCAAGCGGGCGGAGGAAAAAACCTCTTCAAAAGGACGCCTGCACGTTTCAACCGGCCGGATTATCCCATCCATTCAATCTATTATTATTTCCCTTACCAAAGTACAGTACCCGTACGGTAATCAAATTACTGGACTGCGTTGCGTTGTGTATGTTGTGTCTGACTGACGAATTGTTTTAGCCAGTTTATTTATTTACTTATTTGTCCATTCACTTTACGATAGATTTGGAATGGTTATTAGTTCTTGTGTGTTTGTTAATTTATGGGTGGGTTTCAAATAATTTATTTATTCGTACTCGTACTTGTAAAAACACTAGACTCCACCCATCGGGTATACATGCCCAAACAGTATTGTGACTAAGTGACAAGCCAACACCACTCCCGCTCTATACTAAAATAAATAGACAAAATCACTACCAGACCCTCAAGTCTCCTTGCAACACTCCTTCCAAACTTAAATCAAAAAAAAAATCACTACTTCTGGGGCTTACAGGCACTCACAGTGAGATATTGAAGATATTGTTGACAAGATAAGTTGGTATTCAAAATAGTGATTATACATAATTGTTTACATACACTTAAATTTATTTTACATACTCTATGAAGCTGATTATAAACTTAAGACCATGGTATATCATGTGTAAATAGGCTGCTTGGATTAGTTGGGATATTTCCTACACTACTAATCTGCCTACTTCCTATCTCATTATCATTGTAGCTATTTACTACTGCATATTCATCTTTCTTTTCAACTAATAACCAATATAGTGGTTATCTTATCTATATAAAGGAACTTAAAGCAGTTAAAAAAATGGTCAAGTACCTGAAGGCACCTAATCAATTTTAACTCTATTCTATCTAACATCATAGGTAACCATATCATGTTCCTAAATACTATCTACACCACTAGCAGTTTCCTCCAAGTCCTTGAAAAATCTATACTATAACCTCTTGCAATCTCCCAGTGGTAGCTATTTTTGAATATTTCAAAGGTAGTAGTTATAGTAACAGCATTTAAATTAGCTGCTATAAGAATTATACTATTATTAATACACAACAAGACAACTCTTCTAGCTGAGAGGAAGTAGTATAGGCAAGGCCTAAAGATTTCTACTATGTAGGTACCAAATAGGAATAGGGAAAAACTCAGAGAAGAACCCTGAAAAACTCCTTGTAATACTATGAAGAAAAGTTGTAATAGCTATTCATTGAAATAAAAATAAACTACTCTCTACAAATACCATCTCAGGCTCTGAACTCAATGAACTAATTGTTTAGATCCCCTTAAGCAATTAGAAAGTCAAAAAGAAGGTTGTGATTTATATTGTTGAAGCATTCTTTCATATTTATCAAAAGGACCATGTACTACATTTCTTAGTTATACTGTAAGAATTTGTAAACTATTAAAATAGTATCATGCATGTACCTCTTCCTCCTAGATACAAATTGGGTCTCTTCTAGCTTTAGGTATTGTGCCAGCTAGATTAAAATTATATACTTGAATATCCTAAAAATTACTGGAAGTAGGTAGATTGTGTGCCATGCTTTCATAACCTTGTAATTGGATTTATCAGCTTTCTTAATAAGGATGGGCTCTGGAGTGCCAATCCTGTATCTCGTGCTGTAACCTGTGGTCGATTATTTGGTGAAATGGGATATCATTTATCTTTTTAAGGTATTATGCAAACTCATACAACGTATTGTCATTACCTGGTGCAGTCTTAGAGGGGCTCCGGGCAATGGTCATGTCCAGGTTGACCCAGGGATCCATGTCAAGGTTGGATGCAACCTACAGAGTTGGTCGTAGGTGGGTGTTTGGGTGATAGTAAGGTAGAGTCTTATTTATTTATTTTGGTCCAACTTGAATTGGAATGGAATGGAGTGGAGTGGGAGTGGGGGCGGGAATGGGAATGGGAGATGTGTTGTTGTCCTTTGTGGGAATTATCATGAGTTATTTGCTGTTGCTGCACTGGACTAGTTTAAAGAAGTGGTGGTTGGGTACGGAGGTGTGAATATATCTTTCTCTAAGGTCAAGGGAAAAGGAAAAGTTGGGATCATAATTATTTCAGGATGAACCCAAGAATGTATCCTACCAACCATATCGTATAAGAAAAGTAAATAAAAGAAGAACTATAAGATACATTACATTCCCCACCATCCCCCCGCGCTCTCTCTCTCTCTAATCCCCGGAAGCACACCCCCGACACCCGCAACTCACGCACTCGACCACCTGTTCCTTCCCCAACCTAGCCTTCGGCACGCGACAAATGCAAGTGGCGTTAAAATTATTCTCCTTAGCCTGTATACAGCGCAGACAGCACAACTTCTCATACCCCTGCTTCTTCCACTTGGCGATGAGGTTCGCGTCGCCGTAGCCGTTCTTGAGCAGCCAGTTGTAGAGGTCCTTGCCGATGGCCTCCTTGTCATAGTAGAGGTCGTATACGTAGCGTGAGCGCTGGTGCGCGATCTGGAAGATGGCCCAGGTGCTCTCGTTTTTGCGCTTGCCTTCGTGAGGGGCGTTTTCCGCTGAAGATTGTAATCATGGTCGTGTTAGTTGAGGTGATGGAAGGGGTGGGGGTGGAAGGTTTACTTACCATCCTTCATCTTGTTGGCAAATTCTAGTAGGGTGTCTTCGATGTCATCGAAACCTTCTGGAGGTGGTTTGCGGTTTCGACTGGTGCGGATTGGGGGCATGATTGTAGTTTTTTTTGTTTTTTTGGGTTTTCCCTTCGGAAAGAGAGTGGATAGAGGCGGGTGATTGTGTCTGTTAAGAGGGAGTTTTAGTGGTGGTGGTGGTGAAGTTGTTGTGTTGACAGCGAGGTGGCTGGGTTGAGATGGGGTGAAGTGAAGTGAAGTGGAAGGTGGATAGAAGCGAAGGTTAAGGTGAGGTTAGGTGGAGCAAGGTGCCAGAGTTTAGAGCCTCAACCCTTTCTTTTTTTTTTTGCTTTTCGTGTCAGTTTGTGAACCCTGCGGTTTGCAGCGCAATATGACGCACGTTCTTGGAAATAGGTATCTACGGTACCTGTGCCGGTGTGATAATACTGTGTTCGCAACGGTGATATTGGAAAACTTATAGCAAGAGTTTACTTTTGAATATCTACAGCAAGCGAAGAGAGGAAGAGTGGGGAAAAGGGGTGAAAGAAGACAAAAGAGAAAAAAGAGGCAGCATTTTCGTAGCCGCAGAATAAGATAGACCAAACCGCTAGAAACCTCCGGAAAATCGTAGACATCCCCCTAAGGACTGATGACCTTCTTGACCCTCTCCCTCAGAGCCTTCACCAACTCATCAATAGCCTCCATATCATCCGCCCGATACTCGTACCTCCCCTTCTCTAGTATCTCCTCCGGCAGCAGTTCTACAACGGCCTTCAACGACTCCTCTTCGTTTCTAATCTGACTGCTAAGTGCGTAAACCGCTTTGGACCTAACCCTCTCTTCTGGATCTCTAAGCACTAGATCAACGATCTTCGCCACACCCCCGTGCTTGAACATGGCCGCCTGAGACTTTGGGTTGTTCTGGACTGCAGTCCCGATGCACCAGGCCGCCATGAAGCGGAGTTGCTGCTCGGGCACTGATAACTGCGCTATCAAGGGAGGCCAGAGCTTGAGATTCTCGAGGTTGTTGGCGTTGTCCAGGTTCTCAACGAGCATTTCGAGGTTGTCGAAGGCGATCTCCTTGTTTTCGAGGGTGACTTCGGGGTCCCGGATCGCTTCTAGCGCCTCACGCATGAGGATGCTGTCGTCCTTGACATTTGCACCGAAGAGTTGGGCTAGGAGCGCCGGGTCCTGATTTTTTTGATCATGGTCAGCGTATGGGCTCTGCGGGGGGGTGAGGGGAAGGGCGGGAGGTGTATACCAGTTCGGTTCTCCTGTCCTCTGCGTTCGGGTCATCCGAGGGAACCGAATTCTCGATTCCCCACGAAAGTAGCTTGGCCATGTCCGACATGATGGAGGTAGTGCGGAGGCTGTTTGTTGAAAGGTAGGCAGACTAAAGGAGTTCGAATATCAGATGCTTCACGCCTTAATGGGGTTGTTGAGTGGAGGGCGCTCGTAGATGGTGCGGGATATCAAGTAGTGTTGTTGGAAATTTGTATCGTAGGGACGACGTAGATTCGAAGCCACTGGAAGCCACTGGAAGCCAATGGACATCCGAGGAATATTTTCGAAAGCGTATATTTATGGTTTTTAGATTTGCAAGAGGCTCTCTATATTCCGGCGGTGACGGGTTCCCGGGCCTACGTCCCGAGAGTTGATGTTTGTTTGGTATGATAGCCCGTAGACTTACCCCGCCAATTCGGCAGTTTCCCTCCTGTGCCCCACCACCGGTGCAGCGCTGTATGACGATTCGGAAAAGCCATGAGAACCCTAACCCATGATCATATTATGTCACTCGGATATCACTCTCCTGGGACAAGTGGGGGTCAGAGTTGGCCGAGCATGAAGTGTGGGTGGATGGGCTCGAATAGCTCCGTCCACAGTTTCAGTGCCAGATAACCTAGGATAGTCCACTGGTATTCACCACCCTGCCTACGTGGAAAGCCCTGACAGCGTAGAGGGCCAAGAAGTAAACCGAGCTGTTTGGTGTCAAACAGATGTCTGTGCTTTGGGAGCCGGAAGACAGGACGGCTTTGGGATCGGGGAGCGCTAAAAGAGGGTGTGCTGGATGAGGACCCAGTACTCGTTAAAGTAAATGTGAGGATGGCTGTGAGTTTATCCGTCTCAGAAGCAAGTGTATCACATGGGTTTTTTCTAAAATAAACTAAAAAAGACTTATGTTTGTGGGGGGATAGCTACCTAGCCTTGCCCAAAGAAGGTGCCCAGGCGGATGTCTTGAGTTAACATTTTTTTGTTTTGTTTTGTTTGGGACGTGACTGTTCGTAAAGCACGATGCAGGGAATTCCGAGCGAGTTGTACTACTTAAACCCATCGAGTGTTCCGAGACGATGTCGCGAACAAGCCTAATAAAGGAATTCTATCCTATGATAACGTACTACTATGTGTTGTAACGGAGTATATCACATCCCGAGCCTTCCCAATTAGAAAGGGGCCTGTACTCTCGAAGGCAGGCAGGAACAAGAATAAGACCGGGTTTCTTTCCCTTCACAGGGCTAATGCCACCTGGCAATTGCCGTGATAGCTCTCCCTTGCGGACTTAGGATATATCACATACTGTTTTCGCAGCCCACCAACAGCATAGGCCCCTCTACCTTATCCCATGCCCCTGGGACCGACCGGGAATTGTGGTGTGTATGGATAATCTCCTGGTGAGCTATTTCAAGGGGGCGTTGCTCAGACAAAACTTCACCGACGTGACAAAAGTGCCAATATACAGGCTTTAGCTCCTAGATGCTGAAATATATCCTTGCAGTGCACGATGATCAATTCTTGAGCTTGGAGGCATGCGGGGTGAAGTGTCCAGGTTTCCGTTTATAATACCCAAGGCGAGCAGGATGGTGGCCGGTCAGTAGCGCCACGTGGAACTAGAAGGCGAGGATAGGCTGCTTGGTGGTTAAGGAGGGGTGGCCAAGAAGAGCTTCTCGTTTAGGGGGTTGGGTAGCTGACTTTGGGGGCCCGGAAGAGAAGAGTTGCCCTTGGGTGGGGTCACTCCCTGCGCTTACCTCCGAATAAGTCTTTTGTGATTTAGGGCAATCCCACAACGAGAGGGAGAGAGTCAGGAAGGTCCGGGTCAGAATTTGAATGGACCCAATGTCCTACGGCTTCGAGAGAGAATGAGTCGTTATGGTGCGAGAAGGAGAGAAGGGCGAATTTGTCACCTCACCCTTTCCCACACCTGGGCAACTCACCAATTACAAAAACTGAGTCTCCAGCCGTTTTGCCTTACAAACCACAGTCTCTGAGGATTGTGTGTTTGACGGCGTGACTTGACTGTGTGAAGGATTTGTACGATGGTGTGAGCAGGTGACGAACTCATCCTCACATTCTCTCGCCATAATTTGCTTGTTCGTGGTAGCCTGTTCAAACACTGCACTATCTTATCTCTTCCCATCGGGCCATTCCTTCGCCCTCCTTTCCTCAACGATTAGCATACTGATCTACCATCTAGAAATCATGGGATATCACTCGGTATATGTCACACCTTGATCACCGTCGTTCGGGGGTACGTATGATTCACCCCAGGGGTGCAGCGTGTTAGGATTTCTGTTCGCGGCCTCTGCTGCACACTGCAATACCGTGTATAATCGTGAGTGATACCCCGTGATTGCTTGCGTCACCCCCTCATGTATTGTCTCCGAAGGCATCACTTTCTTCTCCGCCTTGAATTTTCCCAACCCCCAAAATTTGATTGCTCTACAGACGGGGAAAGCTCGCCCTTCTCTCGCTCGTGACGACTTCCGACGTGGTGTCCGCGGCGGGATGGGGGGGGGATAAACTTTGAAGTGATTCTAGAGCTCTTGGCTTCCCCGGAAAAATGGTAGTCGTCGTAACTCTATTCCCGGCTGCAAGGGCCCGAACAAAGGAAATGGACGCAGAAGCCCCTATCCCAACCCACGACATGTCATGGACTCTTGGCACGGCATCAGCAAGTATTCCCAGCAGGTGACCGCCTTATCGCCAAGCCTTTCCTTTTGCTTCTCCTTTCACCTAAAAAAAAACCTCCAGGCTTTGTTTTCCTGGGTGCTGACGTTCGGTGTCTCTTTGAGCTGCTAGCGATTGCGCGATGCCTGGCTTGGCCCGCGCGCCCACCGGATGACCAGGGGATTACGGGTACGAGTACTGGGTCCTTCTTCTGCCGGTACCAGTATTGCGGTGAGTGGTCGGAAAACTGGGGTCGCTCGGGCCGGTATGGACTTTTTTGCCATATACCTCGCGAGCCCTCGTCCTCGAGTACCAATAATGATGAAGCCATTCGTGGCCCCATCTGTGCCACCATTTGGTGCAACATAATCCAAGGGTTCGAGAGATGTTGCATCGGCGGGCCGTCATTTCTGAAACACTTACCTGGTACATATAACTCCCCAGACTCTGTGTAAGATGTGATGGAACGAGCCTCATGTTCGTCTGCATCCACCAGGATTCCGGGCGTGGGGGATATAATTATCCATCGGAAAAGAGCACAGCGGTATGATACAGGTAGCCGCGTAACGGTTCCTCTCGGGGGCCACCACGCAACCGAACAAAGGAGCTTTTTGATGGGTCATTTGTGCCCAAATCATAATATACGCTTACGATAGCTGACCCAGTGCCAAGGAGGGCGGGACAGTTGGGGCTGAACTGGTATGATATCGTTATTACGAGTATATCTCCTGCAGTGGGACTGAGGGGTCCACAGTGTCGGCTGGGGTCACTTGGTATTCTTCAGGAAAGGTGTCCACGAGTACAATCGATACCAGAGAGAATTTGGTAGGTCAAGTCGATGTGTCCGAGTTGATGGTTGATACGGAGTGCAAGCGCCGGTACTCGTACAGTGCACAGCTGGCCTTGCCGAATGGTGGCACTTCCACCAGGGAATTTAAAAATAGTAGAGCGTACGGTGGCGGCGAGTGCTGACCACTCAGGATTGCGCGTCACCACTTGGACCTACTTTGCTAGAGCCTGAAGAAGGAATTTGTGTGCCTCTTCCAGCAACTGGGTTAGCGAAATCCCTGGTTTCCATGCCAAGACGTCGATGCCAAGGCTATAGGGCCTTTTTTGGGGCGGGGGTTTGGAGGGAAGAGTGCGTGGTGGGCCGTGGGCTGTGTGTGTGTGTGGCCCTTCTCCTCCTCTTTCTTTTCTCCTTTCTCTCTCCCTCCTGTCCGTCAACGTCTCCTCCATCCATCTACAAAAACCTCCCATCCATCCACCCACTCCATCTTAGAGTAGGCAGACCCCCTGTTGCTTTGAAAAGTCCTCCCTCGAGCTTATCACGTCTTACGAATTCCTTAGCCTTTTTATCGACTAGACCTTTCTTAACAACCGCCATGGAAGGTTAGTGAATACCCCTCCGATATGCTCTCTTTCCTCTTGCTGTCAACTTTGATACCTTGCAAATGCTTGCTTTTGCTGGAGGGGCATAATTGCTAACCATTTCCTCTGTCTATAGACGAAGTTGCCGCCGTATGTTTGCTCCTTGTCCGGTTCTTGCTCGCGGGAAACCCGAAGTGGTTTTGTTATGTTGTGGTATGGGAATGTAGCTAACGTCGCAATCTGAAACTCTCAGCTCGTTATTGATAATGGGTGAGCAATTCTTTGTGATCAGGAATCTCAGCTGCAGCTCTATGCTAATGGCTTTTGATAGATCCGGTATGTGCAAGGCTGGTTTTGCTGGGGATGATGCTCCCAGAGCCGTTTTTCGTGAGTACCTCTATCTATTTTGTTTCCGGATTGGTGGAACTACTTGGTGCCCCGCTATTTATGGTCTGCTCGGAGTTACTCACATTTTTACAGCCTCCATTGTTGGACGTCCTCGTCATCATGGGTATGATAATCCCAATTTCCAATTTCCCGTCCCTTTTTGCTTCCTTCTTTTCTGCCTGGATACCCCGCGGTCACGGGATATATCCCCACCAAGAATACGACGTTGCATTAAGCTTTTTTATGCGGAAAACGGGGTAATTTCTGACAAGAATTTCTGCTGTGTTTTAGTATTATGATTGGTATGGGTCAAAAGGACTCCTATGTTGGAGACGAGGCTCAGTCCAAGCGTGGTATCCTCACTCTAAGATATCCCATTGAACACGGTGTCGTGACAAACTGGGATGACATGGAGAAGATCTGGCACCACACTTTCTACAATGAGTTGAGAGTAGCGCCGGAGGAGCACCCTGTCCTCTTGACTGAAGCTCCTATCAACCCCAAGTCCAATCGAGAGAAGATGACTCAGATTGTTTTCGAAACCTTCAATGCGCCTGCCTTCTACGTCTCCATTCAAGCCGTGCTTTCACTGTACGCTTCTGGTCGTACTACTGGTATCGTTTTGGATTCTGGTGACGGTGTCACCCACGTTGTCCCCATCTATGAAGGGTTCGCCCTCCCACATGCCATCTCTCGTGTTGACATGGCTGGACGTGATCTTACCGACTACCTTATGAAGATTCTTGCCGAGCGTGGTTATACCTTCAACACCACTGCCGAGCGTGAAATTGTTCGTGACATCAAGGAGAAGCTTTGCTATGTTGCTCTTGACTTTGAGCAGGAGATCCAGACTGCCGCCCAGTCATCTAGTTTGGAGAAGTCTTACGAACTTCCTGACGGTCAGGTTATTACCATTGGTAATGAGCGGTTCCGTGCTCCTGAGGCCCTTTTCCAGCCTTCAGTCCTCGGCCTTGAGTCTGGTGGTATCCATGTGACCACCTTCAACTCCATCATGAAGTGTGACGTCGATGTGCGCAAGGATCTCTATGGAAATATTGTCATGTCTGGTGGTACTACTATGTACCCTGGTATCGCCGACCGTATGCAGAAGGAAATCACATCCCTTGCTCCTTCTTCAATGAAGGTCAAGATCATTGCTCCCCCCGAGAGGAAATACTGTATGTTTTTACCACCGTCCACTGGGGGGCCATCTGACTAATTTTCAATAGCTGTCTGGATCGGAGGATCTATCCTTGCATCCCTCTCCACCTTCCAGCAAATGTGGATCTCAAAACAAGAATACGACGAGAGCGGACCTTCTATCGTCCACCGCAAGTATGTTCACAATTTCCTTGAGCTCATTGTTGAGGGTCCATGTACTAACACATTCTAGGTGCTTCTAAAAAAAATTCCGGACCAGTCGGGTACAAAAGAAATTATTTGTCCACTTTCTTTAGCGACTGCATTAAGATGTTGGAAGGTCGATAACTTGATACGGTTGCTAAGGAGAGTGGGTGGGTGGTTTTTTTTATTTACTCTTTCGGCTATGAGGGTTTGTTTTAAGATGGGGTAGCAAAAGGGCGGGAGTAGTAGGGAGAGAAATCGAAAAGTTGTCATGCGAAGGCTTTTCAGTTTTTTTTTTGTGTATTTTTTTTTCAAGCGAATCACATCCGGTTTTTGTTTTGCTACGATGTGAATTGCCTGTTGTAACGGAATAAAGTGCGGTGTCAGTGGAGCTGTACGGGAGGCTGAGCGTTGTGGGGACATATATGATTACCTCATTTTATAACCCTGTTCCTTTCTTTCCCTGATAGTGTTTTGCTGTGTTATCCCCATGTTTACAATGTTTCGTAGTTTGAATGTTTCTTCAAAACAAGATACTTCTATGATCGCTTTACTATCTGCTCCTTTAAGATGCAGTCCATGTGTACAAAAGGGGATTTAACGTGTGTGATATCCCGACACTATTAGTGGTCTCCCGTTGATCTCGGGTTTAGTCGTAATTTTGTTCAACGGTAGGCTATCGCGTGCTCAATTGTGGTTAAAAGCGCAGAGTCCCCGTGCCGGTACAGATATCATTGAAATTTAATGGGAACACATGGCCCTCGGACCGTGATCAGACAGGAATATGGAATAGTTCAGCGAGTGATACCACATGACAGGTCCACGTGGAAACCTGATTTGGCTGACATAATCTGGCAGCCTACACAACTCGCATCATCCTGGTGCCTGCAGCGTCCCCTTTACCTTTCTCGAAACTATTCTCGGTCCCAGGAGCATCGCAATTACATGGCATCTCTGCCGTCATGATACCATTAATAGACTATCGTGAGTCTTATTTCTTTCCACTTGCTCGGCCTCGCGGGTTTACATTCTGTAATTTTCTGACTTTTGTCTTAGCTTTTGTTTGGCTGGAGAATGTCACGGGTGCGTTTAAGGATGAGTGTATGTTCCGATCCTCCCAATTTTTTTTTTGATACCTCTGACATGATACTGGGAACGCAGTGAAGCTTATTTTTACCATTCTATTATCCTACCCGCTCGCTGGCGTTCTCAAACGGCTACCTGATGCAGAGCCCGGCAAAAGGAATCTGTTTATGATTGGGTATGAGACTTCACTACTGATCGGGGTGATTGAAGAGAGGGGCGGCCGCTAATCGATGGTGGATTGGACCACTAGGGTTTCGCTGTTTTACATGGTTGGGGTTTTCGATTTGTGGGGTGGGCTGCGGACTCTTGGTGTTAGCGCAGGTGGAGCGTATGCTATTGCAAAGTTTGTTCGAGGGCCGTATATGCCATGGATCGCCTTTGTGTACTTGATGGGGCACATGCTCATTTCGCATATCGAGCGGGAGCTGCATGGGATTCCTGGGGTTGTGGATGTTACTGGTGCGCAAATGGTTATGGTCATGAAGGTTGGTCGACTGAATACGGGGAATCTTGGAAGGAGGTAGGGACTCACGGCTTTGATGTTCTAGTTGACGGCATTCTGTTGGTCAGTACATGATGGCCGATTGCCCGAGAAGGTATGAGTTATTTACTCCTGCCAACAGCTTGTTTCGCGCGGAAATTGACTTGTGATTCTAGGATTTATCAGCCTTTCAGAAGGATCGAGCGCTGCCGGTGATGCCCGGTATCCTCAACTACACTGCATATGTGGTGAGTTTTGTCATTAGTCTGCTCTTTATCACTAGCACTAATATTTCGCATAGCTGTTTTTCCCGTCTTTGTTCGCTGGACCTGCGTTTGATTTTGCAGAATATCAGAGGTGGATTGATTGCACAATGTTTGACGTCACAGCTCCTGGTGCAACCAAGGGTAGCACAAAGCGGAAGAGAAAAATCCCAAAGAGCCACCGTCCGGCAATTTGGAAAGCTGTTTGTGGATTGGGCTGGATTTTTGCTTTCATGAAGTTTTCTAGCTGGTACAAACCTGAGTTTGTTCTCGGTGACGAGTTTTTGGGCTATTCAGTCCTGAGAAGGTAATTATGTTTTCCGAGCTGGTGTGGATCGAAAACTGAATACAGCCATAGGATTTGGTATATATACGCTTTGGGTTTCGCCGCACGTCTCAAATATTATGGTGTTTGGTCTCTGACTGAGGGTGCTTCTATCCTCTCTGGTTTGGGGTATAATGGCCTTGATGAGAACAAGAAGCCTCGCTGGGACCGTTTGACAAATGTTGACCCTTGGGCGCTCGAGACTGCGGAGAATTCAAGAGCTTACCTTGAATCTTGGAATATGAACACGAACAAATGGTTGAAGAACTACGTGTATCTGAGAGTGACACCAAGAGGAAAGAAACCGGGATTTAGAAGCTCTTTAGCTACCTTTGGGACATCGGGTACGAAGGATTTCTGGGGATTCATGTGAAGGCCGGGCTAATCAATACGCAGCCATTTGGCATGGTATCTCTCCCGGGTATTACCTCACGTTCTTAACGGCATCACTTGTCCAGACGGTTGCTAAATGTATGTGTTATTTGCCCTGAAAATGGTAGGCTATTTTTATTTACTAACTAACGATCCTGCATCTAGATTTCCGACGTCACATTAGACCCTTCTTCATGGAGCCGGACGGAAAGACGCCCGGAAAGCACAAGAAGGCGTATGATATCTTCGGTCTTTTAGCGACACAAATTGGGTTTTCCTACATTGTCGCGCCGTTTATCATCTTGGACTTTAAGAACTCACTCATACTCTGGGGCCGAGTTAAGGTTAGTGAGATTGCACTTATTCGCCCCATGAATTAGCATCTAACGGTGTTTTGTTTTGTCTTATTTTGTAGTTCTTTGTTCACATCGGCATCCTTCTTTCCATGCTATTCTTTAACTCGCCTGGAAAAGCTTGGCTCAACCAGAAGTTGAAGGCAAGGATTGGAAGGCCTGTCACTTCCGAAGGGTTACACAAATCACCAAGTGCTAGCGATTTCCATGGAGGCGCGCTCGGCCTTCCCGACGATCCTATGAAAGATATTGTGGATATACAACGAGAATTATTGGCGAAGAAGGAAGCAGTGGTGGTGAATCGGAGGAGCGCAGTGAACACCGCAAACAAGGATAAATAGCCCCTAGTTAATAGTTCCTTAATAGAGGGCTGCTGAGACTGGAAACGCACCCAAAATGCGGTGTTCCCCCTTTCTCTGTTGGATGCTCTTCCGCCCGCTTAATGCTTGTTGCACAGGTGGAAGAAGGTTGCGGTTGGGTTGATACCTTTCCGCGTTCAGTAGTGGGTTTTCTTTTTTTCTTTTCTCTTTGCTTGCGGGAGTGGAGTATAATTGGGGTGAACATTACTACCGGTACTACATTTTCTAGTTATAGATTTTGGGTGAGAGAAATTGCAGATTGATAGACTTGAATATGTTGCTCCACTGTGTTGCTTCTGGTATTTTCATGTTCGAGCACAATAAGCCGGGTCGATGGGTAAAGTAGATGCCAACCGAAGTTCCCAATACCGGTAACTCAGCGTCAGAAATCAATCGAGTTTGGCTGGGCGACCATAAATTCTTCTTATCGATAAGCTAATTTTATGCGTACGAGTATACTTGCTGGACTATTCGCACTTCGTACCGGTAGATTACTGTACTGAGTACTCTAAGGTCCCCCCCGTCCTGGTTGCACGCTCAAAAGTATACGGGATACTCGGATGAGTTAAGCTTCCTATCCGCACGTGGTTTGTTTGAGTTGCAACGAACTCGTGACCAGAGTGAGATCAAACGAGGTCTCTCCTTCTCGTCCCGACAAACTACAAACAATCTCGCAGCAATTGAGAAACAAGAAGAACCGCCACCAATATGTCGAACGGACTCAGCTACCCAAAGACATCGGCCAACAAAGTCAATAGGTACAGCAGCAGAGGTATCCCCTTCGCCCACCCTCAATTGAGATCCAACAACAGCTGACCCTCCCTCCCTCCCTCCCCCTCAAACTCCAAGCCCACTACGACACAACCACAATCCACAACATAGTAAACACAACCCCGATCCTACACGTCTCCTTCCTAGCCCCCAGCGATCCAAAGGACCCGACCTCACCCCCCCATCCAACGATCCTCCCAATGCTCGGCCAAATGGGCTCCTTCAGCAACCCAAGCTCCGACGAATCGGAAGCGCTAGACTGCTACCTTCACGGCTACACCTCTGGCAGACTGACAAGCCTAACCCGCACCGCCAATGGCGGCATCCCAATCTGCATCGCGGCCACAAAACTCGACGGCCTGGTCCTCTCGTTAACGCCCAACTCGCACTCGTGCAATTACCGCTCTGCCGTGCTCCACGGTACCGCGACGGTGGTGGAGGATGTGGAGGAGAAGCTGTACGCCATGCGCCTCATCACCGAGGGCATGCTCCCGGGACGCTGGCAGGGCACGCGCGTGCCCCCCGACGAGACGGAGCTGAGGAGCACTGGCGTGATGAGGGTCGTGGTTAGCAGTGCTAGTGCCAAGGTTAGGAGTGGCGGTCCGAGCGACGAGCGTAAGGATGTGGAGAGGGGGGAGGTCACGGGGAGGGTGTGGACCGGTGTGGTTCCGGTTTGGGAGATGATGGGGTGTCCGCTTCCCGCCGGGGAGGGGGTTGGTGGGGAGGCGCCGGGGTATGTTACCGAGTATGTTGAGGGGAGGAATAGGAGGGAGAGGGGGTATGCGGAGGGGGGTTCTGGGAAGGTGTATGGGAGTTAGTTTGGAGGGGGGGGAGGGGTTGTGTATGCCATTTTTGAGGGCGGGGTTTGGGATCTTGCTTTGGAGGGTTGTTTTTGCAAGCCTAGGGCTTGCTCTTTTGTGCACTTGGTCTGCTTCGGCCTGGTCGTTGTACCTGCTGGAGATTAATCCAGTATGATAGGTTGAAAGTGCAATTCTTGTCGAGTGATTCCCCGTGAACGTGCAAGTTGCAAGTTTCCATTCTGCATCTATCATACAGTATCATACAACGAAGGTGGGGTGTAGCCTAATGCAACGGAGTTTGACCCCCTGGTAATTCAGAGGCGCTAACTGGAGCCCCATATTATTATTCTAGAGCGATCAATTAATCAATACATCATCCCCTATCACTCTAAGTCTGACATAAAAACAAAAGCATAACAAAATTAATCTAACGCCCTCTAATATATCAATACCTCCCCGATCCCTGCGAGCATATCATGATGTTGAACCCCGCCTACTCCAACCCCACCCTCCCCACCAAAACCAGCACCCCGCCCAGCAGCAAATTAACACCCAAGTGCCAAACAACCCAAGCCATGGCAAACAAATACTTTGGTGAGAACACGGTCCAGATGAACAGGTGTGTCCTCAGCACTGTACAAGCCAACATGACAGCGCCCGTCGCAACGCAGCAGAAGAGACTGAGAAGCATCAGATGCCGCCTCAGCCCCACACCATCTTCGCGCTTGCGCGCGGTAGTCGTGATGGCGACTGTAGCGGCGGAGCTGCAGTATATGGGGCCTATCCAGTTCGATACAAAGGTCAGGAAGGCTACAATCGCGATGGAGTAGCCGGATACGCCGTTGTACGAGTTTGATAGGTCTACTGAGGAAATGGCGTTTGCGCCACCGTAGGCGAAGAATGTGAAATGGGAGAGGATCAGGGCCGAGAGAGTTAGGTCTGTGGATGTTAGGGAGGAGGAGGAGAGGAGGCGGATTGCCAGTGTTAGGAGGTGGAGGAGGGGGATGTTTAGGAGTTTGGTTTGGGTGGCTAGGAAGATTGGGAGGAGGGTTAGAAGGGTTGTTGAAATTGTGTGGGTCGCTAAGGAGGGGAGATGTGTTAGCGACTGTTTGGTATATACGGGGGGGGGCGGGTTACCGTCCGGACCCTTCTTTCGGGTTTCGAAGAGAATTGTGTAGAGGATTATTGTGCTGAGGGATATGAAGGTCGTTCGGGCGAGGCTTATTAGTGACATATCTAGTTCTTCGGTATACAATGCTAAAGGCTTTAGCCAGTTAGCTATCAAGTCCGGTGTGTCCTGCGCCGCGAAACAAAGCTTGAACGTGAGTGCTGCGCCGATGGTTAAGATTCCAAATATGAACCCAGCGGCTCGTCCAGGGATATTCCGGAAGGTGTTCCTGACGATACGGCTGAATATATCGGTATACGTGAATAACACAAGGAGCCAGAGCAAATTTATGTTCTCCGATAGAAAGCCTTTGGTAATGTCTGGCGCCCCAGCGTGTTTTTGACCCGTTTGATTCCAGCGGCGGGCGATCCTGAGCATTGGAATTATGAGGAATATGCGGAATGCATCGCTATTGCTTGTTCGCTGGCTATTCAGTTTTCGTAAGCTTTGGTCACTGTCCGGGGAGAGCACAAGTACATACGCTTTCAAGAACAAAAGGAAGAACCATCCCGATGCTGCCCAGTACCAAAAATTGTGCTCCTCTTCAACATAACTACTGGCAAACATCATAACGGCGTAGGCCGCCGTCAATACGAAAAACATCACGTTGGCAAGACAGGGCTTTTCCAGAATCGGGAAAAGACCGATCAACGAACATAGGAACCCGAGCAGGACGAATGCAATGCCTGTGACCATCAGGGTGATGTCGTAATTGCTCGAAGCTGAAGAGAGGACGTCTTGACATTTGGCAGAGAACTTCCGGTTTATGAGCAGATGCACTCGTGTGAGAGATGGGGTATTATCGTACCTTCAGGAGTGAGGCCAAAGCGGCTTCTGGGTTTCCCTTCCCTTCGGTGAGATGCTGGGAGAAAACTGATTTGCTCCAGAGACAAGCCAATTCATCCACATCATCTCCGACGCCCTTGCAATCGGCGTGGCTGACGCTCCGGCTATCAAAGTCTGTGTGGGCAGCCTTGACAATAGTGAGTAACTGCTTAGCATTTGCCAATGCGAGTGATATCCTGTCCTCCACTCTAGGCGTGTCAGTATTTTCTTCGATCGCATAGGTTGTTGGGGAAAGAACCGGGATAGATTGGAAGTGTCATGAATACTTGTATTACTGATCCAGAACTTTTATCGTACCCCGATACTTTCCCACTAACTTGGGCATTCCTCGGGCGCCTAACATACCATCCCACATGTGCAGAAGAGAAGGTATAAAAACCCCCAAGTTGTTTCTCGGGACCGGGAACCCCAATAAGCCTGCCAATGAGGGCACAACATCATTCTGCTCTACGGTTGTATAGTAATCGAATTCCTCCCTGAACTCAGCCGGGCATTTCGTCCCACTAAAGCTCTTCTTGAACTTTGGCGACATGAAAACCAGAGCCGGCGACGTTTCACCGAGCCCGGAGCCACCATGATTCCCTGCATCATTCATTCCATGATCGCCAGCCAACACGAACAGAGTATCCTTCAAGTGCTCCTTTTCCTCGATAGCGGTAAATATTCCCTTGACTATTCCATCCATCTCTCGTTGCTTGGGGATCATGTTCGGGCTTTTGGGCCCCGCTTTGTGTCCAATGTGATCTACCCCAAGATAATGCATAATCATACCCTCCCAGTCATCCCTCTGTAGCTCATCATCAATGTGCCTCGTAACGTTGTTGTCCACCTCGGTGAAATCTGACACGAAGAAGCTGGACGTGGGATCCGACCTGATGAACATGCCGGGGAAGAGCTTGGCCCAAGTGTCGTCGCCGTACATGACCAACTTGCCCTTACGATTCACAATCTGCGCTAACCAGTTGTCTTGAGACGCTAAAGTAACGGCGGAGTCGGACTCGGCAAAGTTGAGTATTACGTCCAAGAAGCCAGGGACCGAACCGGTGGTGAGCCCCTTCACGCGAGGCATAGTGATAGTCGGTGAAGTAGCGTGTGCCGTAAAGGGAATTGCAGAGCCGGAAGATATCAAACTAGCTGAACGTCATCCCCCATGCCCCATGGAAGCTTAAACAAGCATAAGCTCTCGAGAGTGCGCCATACCTCTGCGTAAATCCAAAGCCAGACTCCTCCGAGAAGACAAAGTCACTGGCAGCAGCAAGGCACATATTAGCTCTAGTTTTGAGATAGTGGAGCTTGATTTAGGTAGTATACCTCCTTAACGCATCAACAACCATGAAAACAACCTTGTCAAATATCTTCGGCACACTGCTCACCCTGCCATCGAATTCCGCGAGCCCTGGGAGGAAGGGCTTATAGGGGAAGAACCCCTTTGCAAACAGTAGTAGCCCGACAGGAAGCAACAGGTTTGTGGCCGCTAGAAGCAGCCATGACATCGAGGCCTTCATGGGCAGTTATTTCTCGGGGTTTTCGCGTTAAGCGTCTGCCAGCGCTCTAGCGGTAGGGAAAGTGACTTGGGGGTTGAGCTCATTTGGACACTTGGAAGGGGATTTGTGAACACTTGGCGGGTTAGGGTTGTCCCGGAATGCTCACTTTAAAGGAGTAGACTAGGGGGTGGTTTTGGATTACCGTATTTGGACTAACGGTTGGAGGCTCAAAATTTGGTATTTTTTTCTTTTGGATTCGGGCTATTGACATCGGATACCCCCACCAGCCACTACTACACCGAAGATATAATCGCCTTCAACGTCCACGGGATTATCGCTGCCCGAACAGCCATTAATACAAGTCTCCTCGAAGACCCACAACGCAAGTGATTGAGAATGACCTCCAAGGCTGAGGACATCTTGGATGGGATGGAGGAGGATGACGACGAGCTTACTATGCCGGATGAGGGATTGAGTGATATTCGCATCACGACCGTACGATGACCCCCGGCCTCTGACCTCTTTTTTTTGCATCGCTAGAGCTTTGAATTACAGCTCCCAGGAGAAGAGGAAGGTTCCGCTTCATTTGAGATTATCGGTGAAGACCATACTCTCGGGAATGCGCTACGATACATCATCATGAAAAAGTGGGTCAGGAACTTTGGTTTTTGGGTCCCGGAGTGAGTGTTAACTCATCAATTGAATAGCCCTGAGGTCGAGTTCTGTGGATACTCAATCCCACATCCTTCTGAGGACAAGATGAATATCCGTATACAAATCTATCGTATGCCCTGCCCTCGGGATCATATCGCAAGAAGCCTGTTGACAATCTACTATAGCCGAGTATTGGGAACAGACCAGACCCTACGATGCATTGATGAAGGGGTTAGACGACCTCGGTGACCTCTGCGACCATATCACGCATGCGTTCAAAGAGGCTAGGGATAAATTTGTAGAGCTCGGGGACGGTAGTGAGCAAGGATGACACGGTGTGCCTATTTTGATGAAAAAAGGTCACTTGTATAGTTCCGCAGCGCACTGGTTTAATAAGTTATACTTTTTGTTTTTGTGTTTTCTTCCCTTTATAAGTTATTTTTTCACGTTGTATTTCTATTGTGGAAGATATACACCAGCAGACGAAACAGGGAGGCAGGCCAAAACATTGACAATACCCATCAGCTATTGGCCATGTAAGGGGTAATTGGTTAGTTGCGCCCCTACCGAGATGTCAGTACCTCCACCACTACCGTTGGTAGAATCCAGCCGGATGTATACCTCCAAGAAGTTATTCATAAAGTTCGAAGATACCCTGCTCCTCGGGTCTTCTTCTGTCCTGAAGTACCTAACCACCCCACCATATACCATCAGCATGTGTAGCCCCCCCCCCCCCCCATAGCGCTCCCCCAGGAGTGGTTTGTCTCACTTCATAACGTGCGGAATCTGCTTCCAGTAGTTCATCGTCTCCTGCAATTCCATATTACTCTTCGCAATGAGCACATCCACAACCGGTAACTGCTGTACATAGCGATGCCGCTCAAACTCCTGTCGAATCTTCGCACGAACAGCCGAAGCAGGAAGGTGGAGTAGGTACTGTTTTACGATCTCTGGGGCCTACTCCAGGGTCAATCAGTCAGTCAGCCATCCCAGCGGTGGCTGCAGGGGGCAGTGGTAATACAGCTCGTTGCCAGCTCCGATAAGCCTTTATTACTCGAGAGCGGGCATCCGGCCAGCCGGCCGCTGTGGCGGGGAAGTATCAGTTAGTTCAATAGGGATCGAGGGGCGCTGCGGGGTGGAGAAAAACTGACAGACGCGGGTAGTCTTTGCGAGATTGGTGGGGTTGATGACCATCTTTGGGCGGTAGGGGTAGGTGTTCTTGGTGGGTATCCCGTCGCGACGGTAGTGCCTAATGCGAGAGGTTGAAGATGAGGCGTCGAAGCGGGAGTTTGAGGTCCTGAGGCGTGCTCTCTCTTCTCCGCGGCTTGGCAATCCTTTATCTTTAACTTGGATCCTTAACGCACAAACAACTTGAACTGGAGTACGAACGCCTTGGGGACCACCGGATGCACCGCATATACAAGCACTATCACAGTATTTACTGGTGTTCCGGAGGCTTCAAGCCGGGCCCCGGCGAAGTTTTCGAGTGGGCCGAAAATCGGATTGGGATTGTGTGATCGGTGCCAAACACCACTCTTTTCAAGTTTGACTCCTCTGCGATTATCTAACTTATTGTACCGGTATGATACAAAAGAACAAAAAAAAGGGAGGAAATTCATTGCACTGCCCGGCTATGGCAGAACCCTGGAAAATCAATGCGCACCTTCTCCGCGCCCTTACCCAGCATCTCTATAACATCCGGGCATCAACTCGGGAAGCCTACAGAACCTGAGACGAAGGCTGTAGGGTACCTAACCTACCGCCAGTATGCCAACAAGCAATCCAGACTCTCGGTCCCCGATATATATTTTGTACAAAGATCTCTCCCTGCAGTAGCGCGGGTGATGGCGCCCTCATTTCGGTAAACCTGGTTTGAACATACAGCAATACCGGTGGGTCTACGGTACTGCCCCGAGTGCAGGTCCTTCGTGGCGGCGGATTGGTCTCCGCAGTGAGCACGTATTTCTGCCTTACTGTTCGTAGTTGTGTCAGGAATACCTTGGTATTATACACTTCCATCCAAACAGCCCCTGGTATATGTCTGTAGTCCGCAGAGGAAGAGATCAAGGGAAGCGTAAAAGGAAAAAACGGGAGTATATAGGAAGCAGAATGTATATACAGGGAAAAAACAAACATGCCGGGCGTGGTGAGAAATAGAGCAACGAGGCAGAGCGTTTCACAGTTATAGAAAAGTACTCCTCCCCCAACCTCCACCCCGCGCATACCCGAATGACCAGAGACCAGATATTTGTATACTCTGATTTCACGACACTAACAAGCGTGCAGTGGGACTCGAAGGGGAGTAAATGTGCGTGCAATAGGCATTTACTTCAAGTAATCACTGGTCAAAATCGGTCTAGGAGTTGGGATTTAGGAGTAGTTGCAATGGAAGGAATGGAAGTGAGATTGTCACAAGATAGTAACGAACCAGGTGGGCGCAAAAGGATTCAAACAGAGGGCGGGAACTGCGCTGATGATGTGTGTGATATGCGCATGGAAACTGTTGCAAAAGGGGCAGACATAGCTATATGCGGAGAAGGAATGTAAGGCAAACCTCTCTCTGGGTTCAATCCACACCAGAGATTGTAGTTGCCAGAGAGGCTGAAAGAGTGGCATGATATCCCAATGCCCATACCCAGAAACCCACTAGAGTGGTATCCGACACCGTTTCCTGGCCTGCCGGGATTGACATCGCCCCGTATGAGCAATAGTCTCCCGGCCTCCTCACGCCCCCCTCCCAGAAATCCGTACCAATGGTGTTCGGCCATTGCTGTCTGGCTAGTTGGGATTGACATCGTCCTTTCTGTGCAGTAGTCTCGCCGCCCCTTCATTCCCCTGCCGAGCAGCCAATCTAAGTGGCGCAAAACCGGTACAATCTTGTTGATCGACATCACAACCTCCCACCCCTCAACGGCTCTAAAATGGGATGCACGGTGTAAGCCGGTAAACAGGCAATGAGTATCTGAAAAATGGGAACTCCTCGTTTGGTTGAAGGGTAAGATGGAAGATATATGGTTATCGTGGCGGGTCATTAGCGCTAGCGCAAGCATTTTGTGGACATCAGCCGGGACACTAGAACCGGAAATGTCCTCTTGAAGTGTGTAGTGAATTAGGCGGACTGTCAGTGTCTCCTGGTCAACCACGGCAAAGCCTAAGCATGGCATTGGGACGGTATCCTGCGGACGGATGTTCTCAAGGTCCAGACCTGTAAATCCCGTTTATACTGCGAGAGTATGGCAGAGTTCCTCAATCTGCAGCGGCCGTTTCGAGTGGGATGCCCACATCAGCACTTCCATCCCAAGCCTTGATCGGTCACCTTTTGTTCCCTTATTCGCTACAGAGATTGGGCATATACACTGCCCAGATACACGCTAGTCGTTGGGACCTATTTCAGCACTCTCCTTCTCTCCGTTAATGAGCTCTGGCCCAAGATTGCATCGATATTCAATGTAACGAGCAGAAACCTTAGTAGGGCGTCGGTATAAACATGCAATAGAATTGCTCCCACATACACCCCCGAAGCCTTTTGCAAGATCCCGTTCATTAAATCACTTTTTAGACTTCCAGCCATCAAGTCTGGATCTTGGCCGTGGTCATGATCCATCTTCTGGCTTACATATCTAGCGATATCCCCTTGGTCGGCCATAATGTATATGATATAGGCCGCTCTGCGAGACGCTTATCCAGTTCTCTGCGAATAAGCGGCCCCCCTGTAAAAGATAACCGTGCATTTGGAGCATCTTGGATAATCTGCCGTAGGGCACGAAGAAACACTGATCGATACTGTGGCAGTATCCCGTTTGCCGCATCGAGTCAGACGTATACTCATCCAATGGAGTTGGCCGTTTGGACAAATAATTTCACCATGTCCGGCAATCGAAGGCCTTAACCACCACCTCCCCGCTTTGGCTCCTCAAAAGCGTTCTTAATTTCATCTGGAATCCTCGCTAGCCCCAAAGCAACCTGCCAGAGCGGACTCCCTATCATACTCACTGCCGATCGATCCTTCTGCGACTGGTAATCTCTATGAAGGGATAAAATGGGGATATTCTGTCCACAGGGTTGCCCGCGTAGGGTGACTGTGGCTTATGGACTGGTTAAGCAGTCGTACTTGTCAGCATCGCCTACACTTTCCGAAGAATATTCTTGTATCATACCATGTAAAAGTTTTCCCAACCCCTTTACCCCCGTGGCATAACAGTAGCAAGGTAGGATTCGCCGAGCCATCCTAGCCCCTGCATCGCGACTCGGACTCGTCCCTCCGGAGAACTCAATCCCCAATGCCATCAAGCCGGCGGTTACTCACATCTTGATGCTTTCTATGGGGTTTGAGTGATGATAACCATGCTTGGATCCGCAAAGACTCTTCAGCTACCGGTGCTCTCACGCTTATGGTATTATTATAGCTGTTTGACACATTTCCGATGTTCGTGTTCGAGTCATCGTATATACTATTGGTCATGTTGTTATCGGTGCGGGCATTTGATATGCCATTCTGGCGGGATTGTAGCTGAGACTTGACTCTCTGCGTTCTGTGGGTAATGAATTCACAGCAGTTAAGCTTTCGTGCGGTGATAGTGTAGCGGTACTGTGCGGTAGTTTGCTGAAGAGATTGATGGACGCTCATTCCTCGAGCAATGTATGGCCGGGATTGCTTTCTTGTAGCAGTAGCATTAGGTGGTTGTTCCACAAGGGGGTGCCAGCCAATAATTTCAGTGCTAAGGGGAATATCGCAAGTTATGATACGGTACCTCGTCTTTGCATCTCTGCAAGCAGACTACCGCCGGGAAAAGCTTCTGTTATCAGCACTCGGGTCCAGCGCTGAAGAAACCCACCCAGCTGGTAGAGTTATCAGATCATCAGATCGACCTTGTCTGATAAGCTGTGCTTTGTGCTCCGACCGAGTTATGTATGCGTCATCGGGGCACACGGAAAAACGGGGTTCCGTGGGGCTACCGTAACTTGGTTCCAGCGCAAGCACGAGTATATACAGTGCAGAAAGACTGAAACTTCTAAGCAAGCCTTCTCTGCCTCTCAACCCCCCCACAACATTCTAGCATGATACCCAAAACCAGCCTCCCAAGGTTCACTCGTTCAGCGGTATATCTGCGCACCTATTCGACCAAGATGGGGCCAGTCCCACTGGCCTATCATCTCCACCCAGCACCGATCCCCTCGGCAGCAAAGAACGATTCCCCATTGATAGTTATGCACGGGCTTTTCGGCTCGAGGCAGAATAACCATAGCATCAGTAAGTAAGGAAGAACCCCACCTCACCACACTTAACCAATGGGGGGACACAAAAATCTAATTCTCTACAGGGCATTGGCGAAGGACCTGAATAGACCAGTCTACACACTTGTAACGCATCCGAACTGGCCTCTCGGCAACAGCAGCAGCAGGATTGGCAAGAGAGTTCTAACTTGGCAGAAAAACAGGACCTCAGAAACCATGGGGAAAGTCCGCACACTCCATACCATAACTACGAAGTCATGGCGGAAGACGTGGAACACTTCCTCCAGGAAAATAAGCTAGGCCCTAAAACTGTCCTAATCGGCCATTCAATGTCTCCCCCCCCCCCCCAGCTCCATTTCAATTCCACATTAACACCCACCAGGGGCGCCAAAACCGCCATGGCAGTAGCCCTCCGCAAACCCTCCATAATCTCCTCCATAATCGCAGTCGACAACGCCCCCATCGAGGCGGCCCTACACTCCTCCTTTGGGGGGTACGTGCGCGCGATGCGCAAGATCGAACATTCGAACCTGACAAACACGAAGGAGGCCGACGCGATCCTCGCGGAAGTGGAGCCCGATGTCGCCATCCGGCAGTTCCTCCTGCGCAACCTGGTGCGCAGTGATTCTGGCCGTCTCGGGTTCCGCATCCCGGTGGGGACGCTGGCAAGGGAGTTGGACAACATGTCCGCCTTCGCGTACCATCCCGATGAGGTCCGGTTTGAGAAGAGGGCGCTTTTCGTGCGCGGTACGCAGAGCCCTTACGTCCCCGACGAGGCGGTTCCCATCATCGGGAGGTTTTTCCCCCTTTTCAGGTTGAAGGATATTGACGCGGGGCATTGGGGTGAGTGAGAATCGGTGACTCGCGGGTCACGCACGGTTGGCGACAGCAGGCTGATGATGATATGCAGTGATTTCTGAAAAGCCGAATGAGTTCAAGGAAGGTACGTATCTTCCCCCCCCTTCCTGCTCGGAAGTGATTGGCTTGCGGGATCTCCGGGACTAAAGTGGTGGGAATCTAGCTGTCATTGAATTCCTAAACGAAGAGGAATAGTCGTACCCCCCCCCCCTTCCCCAATGTCCTGGACCTAACCCATAGCACGCATCCACAATCCGTCAATCATATAAACCATACGAATCCAATGCACGATAGACCAAATTAATAGAGAAAGCACACATCACCAACCTCTCCGTGCAAGATACCATACCAACTGTAGTGGATGAAAGATCTATAAAAGCAGGGTATACTAGTACAGGAAACGAGTGTCACAAGATCGTAGTCATCCCATCCGTCATCATCAATCGGGGAAAAGGCAAATGATGGGAAAAAAAAAATGTAAAGAAAAAAGTATAAAAGAGGAAAAAAAAAAAGTAGCCCAATACAGCAAATATACCAATCGACCCAACTCCCAAGCACCTCTAGAATGCCAACCCAACAACCAACCACCTCCCCCACCAACCTAGCAACACCCAGCCTTCTTTGGCGGCGAGTCTAGACTGAGCGTAGCTACAGGCGTAGACGACGCAGCGGTCGCTATAGCCCTCCTGGCGCCCACGCCGCCATTCATCAACTCCGGCGTCTCCACAATCCTGGTGACGGTGTCGACGAACGGTTCCTTGACGTTCTCCCTCGTCTTGGACGAGACCTCGTAGAAGCCGGCGCCGTAGCGGTCCGCCAGTGCCTGCCCTTCCTCGGTCTTGACGATGCGCGAGGAGGTGGACTTGTCGAGCTTGCTGCCAACGAGACACTTTATGGCGTTCGGAGGGGCGTATTTCTCCACCTCCTTAAACCAGTACTCCATTGTTGTGAAGGTTTCGCGGTTGGAGATGTCGTAGACCAGGAGCACGCCTTGAGCGTTGCGGTAGTAGGAGCTTGTCAAGGTTCGGAAGCGCTCTGTGCGGGGAGGGCGTTAGCTAGTGGGTGGGTGGAGATGTGGGGGAAGGGAAGGGAAGAAACCTTGGCCGGCGGTGTCGAAGAGGAGGACTCGATGGGGCTTTCCCTTTACGGAGAGTTTCTTGACCTGCGTTACATATCACATCATGCCATGTCATCGCATTAGCCACCTGCTTGTCTGCGTCCGCAGCGGGATGGGCGGGAGATGAAGAGATGGAGGAAGGAAGGAAGGGAGAGAGAGGGAGGAACCTTAAAGTCAACCCCAATTGTCGCCGTCGCATTATCCGTATCAAAGATATCCTCGACATATCGCAATAGTAGTGCCGTCTTGCCGGAGCTGGAGGGACCTATGAGGAGTCTGTATTGTATCGAACCCAATCACTCACCCTCGTTAACGTCCTCCCATTCCATCCATTGCACAATAGGTGGGGAAAAGAGGGAGGTTTATCGTACACCTTAATCGTCGGATCAGCCATGACTGACACCTCAATTTCAAGCCGACTCCCTAGCCAGTGATGACGACAAGAGTAAATCTATCCGATTCCGTAAAAAAACAAGAATCCTTCCTGCCTGCTTTCCTTCCCTTACAAGTCTCGGGTGGCAGGTAGGTAATGTGGCGTATGCTCGTCTACCTTTCTATCCTTTGATTGCCCGTTGGATGTGTTGGTGGGGTGGCGGGGTGGGTTGTTGGACAGAGCAGGCCAGAGCTCGATCGAGGCCCAGGTGACAACGTCGTAGTCGTAACCGCAAGCAACCGTACGAGTAGAAAATTGCGGAAGTGTATGTGTATGTGTGTGTGTGTGTTTGTGCAGGCAAGAGAGAAAGAAAGAAGGGGGATACTGAAGCAAATGCCGACGTCAGAACCGCGGATCACGGTTCGGTAGGAGTTGACAACTCAGGTATCGTTTGGCTCGACCAACAAGTCAAGCGAGCACTCGTATGAAGGCAACAGTTGGAGGGACGGATGGAAGGAAGGAGACAAGAAAGTGCGGGGTGCGGCAGGTGGAACAAAAAAGACAATTATGGGTACAAATAGTGCAGTGCAGTATCGTGGGGTGCCGTAGGTATGACACAGTGCGGGTCATTCACAATATGGTTGGGGGAAGGGAGAGCTTGTTGGGGTGAGATCATGGCTGAACGGATGGGGGTTACAGTGGTTGGGCTAGGCAGCTGACCGACCTTGGGGTGACTGGCGATGAACGAGTCGCCACGGTGTACCCGTACAGGCACCGTACCAATCGATACTCCATCAATAGAACTTGAGCTGTCCATTATGATTGAGGTGTTAAGCTTCCCGCTTCAGGCCGGTATGGCCATGGGTTGCGGCCTTGTATGATATAGACCGCGGTATGGATGACCCACAGCCCGTTCCTTCTCTTCGTTCGGGCCCGCGTTGGGGTTGGCTGGGAGGAAACACGGGTCGAAACAGAGGTTTAGTAACATCTTAGTAATACGATACACTAGTACCCTCCAGTACCGGTAGTCCCTGCAGCTGTCAAACAATCGATATGACGCTGCACATCCCTGCCCGCGATCGTAGAGAAACAATCCGAGCCCGATGATATATCGTGCCGGTAGGAACCCGTCGCTGTACTCGTACTATCATATGCACCGTGCAGTGGTACGGAAAGGCTCAAAATACTTGAACATCCGATGATCAGGGCACGGCGGAGCAGCTTGCGTCCGCAGTACTGTACAGTTATGATACACCTCGGCACAGTGCAAGTATGATACGATACCTTAACACCACAACAATATTATACCCTCACCAGCCATAGTGCACTTGAAGAGGAAACCTCCCATTAGCAACAACGCACACCAGGCAGAACATCACATACATAGCCACCATACGATATCAAAAAAAAAAAAAAAAAAGAAGAGAGAAAGGTCCCATACTTCCCCTCTGACCCAACCACACCCAACCACACCCAATCCCACTCTTGACCTTCTCCAAAGACCCACAGTACAGTACCATGGGTCAAGGCCCCAAACCCACACCACCACCAACGCGAGATCATGATCCGCAATCGCGCAATAGCCGTCGTACCCCTCGGCTCCCTTACCGTTTACATGTGCTGCCGCGCTGTTGGCAGTATTATATCATACCGCACATCGAATACTGATATATGATACGTATAATACCATGATAGTCGCCTAGATATATAGATAGATCAACTTTAAGCTCTACTGTAGAAGCGGAAAGGGGGGAAGGGAGGAGCTCTCGCTTCAAGAAGCGGGGGGGGAAAGAAAGAAAGGTGATGACGATAGAATCAATCACACGGCTATCCGTCATCACTAAACGCCGCCATTGATATAAACCGCCAAGTTGAACGGTGTCGGAAGTGCAGGGTTCCTTCGCCCGTCCATCACAACTCAAATTGAGAACACTTGATATACATTATCAAGGACTCTCACTCGGAAAGTGGGAATGCACTCAATCACACCGAACCGCACCTGGCACAGCGGGATGCCATCCCTGTAGAACCTCGCAGCGTCATATCATATCCTACCCGTAACAACCAGTGGGCGGACAAACAGACAAACAAACAGACATGCCAAACATTTGAAAAAGGAAAAAAAAAAGACTGGAGAGGAGCACTGACCAATACCAGTATCACCGCCCAAGGCTTGCTATACAGCTACGGTGGTCTACGTGCCGTGGCTCTCGGTCCAGCCTCCTGTAATAGCACCCCACGTTGCGGTAGGCGCCCGCCTCCCCGCTCGCCTTTTCATAATACCAGTATCATACCTTGCCTTACCTTGCCTTGCCTCGTCGGCATGGCATCATACACTACTAGCAAATCCCTCGAACACGGGACCAGAAGGGGCCCGGAAGAGAGGGAAACGAAAAGAAAAAGGAAAGGCTATGGTGGAGAAAAAACAAATTATCAAACAATATTATGGAAACGTAATAATATAACCGACGGATATGAATGGACGTGAAGTGGAGTTTGACGGACCGTTCGAGGCCCGGCTTTGTGAGTATAATAGACTTCATCACTTCTGCAGGGCGAAGGGCCGGACAAAAGGAATTATCTTCGCCGCGAGGAGTGGGAAAAGCAACAATATATATATGCGAGAACACTGTGGCACCCTACGGGCATAGTAAAGCAGAGTACCCTAGGCTGCCATAGCCTGGCCGCTGATGGCCCATCATGATGGTATTCCATCTGAGGATCTAGTGTCGATAGGGCAACAGAGGGATATCAAGACATGTATCCATTCCATCAAGTTGCGATGCTTCTATAATGCATTTTATATATAATCATCGTCCTCATCATCACAATTTTGTGCCGCAAGGAAAGCGTATGGTTCAAGTATGATTGTATCCCGTACACCGTGCTAAAGAACTAAACCCACCCCCCGAATCGGATTGGGCCTTGATCCGTCCAAGAAGATTTTGGTCCCAAGGCAAGAAGAGAAATATGAAACAAGGAATAGGAAATTAGACTTCAAAATTTCGCCGCTTGTGTCCGAAATTTTGATTTTTGTGAATTCAGGTTAACCGCTTTTTGTTCTGTATACTTTTCACCCCACCCTCGCCCCTTTACACAGTCTCCAAAACTTGCTCCTTAAATTCACGTTCCACCTTCTGGCCAGACTCATCCGCTGTTGACTCCCCATGCAGATTCAGCAAGGCACCGAGATCGAATTTAGGCGACTTCAAGAGCTTTACTTTGCGGATGTGAACCTGCGGAAAGTAATTATTAGCATATATATGTGTGTTTGCATATGACCGAGAAGCGGCAGCGGGGCGGGATGTGGCATGTACAAACATTCTGGAGAGGATAGATTGCGGTGGTCGCCTTCTCGATCTCACGTCCAATAACCTCCGGGATGAGCTTCTGGGTCAGCCCCGACAGAGAGCAACTCGCTGCCTCACGCTGAATGATCTCAACCATCTTCTTGCGGATTTCACGGATCTGCGAAGACTGGGCATAGGTGGTCTTCTTAATCTGGTTTTGTCGCTTCTTGGTGAAGCCGATGGCGAACAGGCGGAGAAGGTAGTCGTCGGTTGTCTTGATAGTGATGTTGGCCTCGATCAGGGTTTGCCACTTGCGGACAAGCGAGCGAAGCTTGTCGGAAGTGAAGTCGAGACCGTGGAAGTTTGTGAGACAATTCTTTCCCTGGACTTCATCTACCCGGAGTTTGACCTTGCGGAAAGCGTGCTCCTCATCCTTCTGGAGATCGGCAAGAGAAACCTCGAAAATCCGGCCCTTGAGGGCGTCGTTGGCATTCTTGAGACCAGTGGTGCGGTTGACAAGGGTCTTTCCAACACTGCATATCCACGACATCCAGTCAGCCACAAGCCCTCATCTTCTTCCTGCAATACAATTCGTGTAATATCAAGCCGAATTTAAAAGTAAAGGGGGTGTATCTCACTCTCTGGAAGCGAAGGTCGAAGGTGCCTAAAAAAATAAGTATTGTGAAAAGGCACTCTGATATGGAGAAATGAGGTAGCTCACCTTAACGCTGTACCAATCCTTGCGGGTGAAGGGATCCTGGACCTTCTTCTTAAGACCTTTCTTTCCTTTGGAAAGTCTCTTGTTCTTGCCGACAGCCATAATGTATTATTTCAATCGTTCACTAGGGCCCAGTCAGCTCAAGGCCAGAGCGTCCACCACTAATAATCCCATGCGTCGATAGAATTAAAGATAACCCCCCTAACCCAAAAGGGTGGGGTAATACCGATAACCCCACCAGAAAAAGGAGGAAGAAAAAGACTACAAGAATGAAAAACCCACCTATCGTCACGTAGCGTATCAGAGACTCCTTCAGGCGGAAGTCAGTTGGCGTGGATGTCGTGAACGGTGTTGGGTTGTCGTTTGGTTGCTAGGTGTTGCCTGTCTAGAAATTCAACCGTGGTGCCCGAAGGTTGAGGGAGTGCTTGGCACTTTTTTTTAGGTTTGTGCGTGTCCTGATTCTAGCCGTCACAGGGCTGTAGCCCCTAGCAAGAAATGTTTCATACCCCACAGATAAAACAACCCTTCTCATCTGACTAAGGGATTACGTTGGACGAAGCCCCAACCCGTGCTCTAAGCTGCTCACCCATGATGGTGATAACACACCACCATACCGGTATCTTCCCCATTTTTACTTCAGCTCCACGTTCCACAGTAGCAAGCCCACCCGGCTAACTATCTCTGGTTTCACATTTCCCGTTGGGAGAGAGTCGGACATATCGTAGGAGGCATTTCGGACGCACAGTAAAGAAATTCACTCAACACCAGTCACACCACCAACAACGCCTCCTCCTCATCCCCCTCCTCCTCCATCCGTAGGTCTCTGGAATAACGTACTCGAGTACAGTACGGTACCGCAAGTGGGGCCACGAAAATGAAAATGATGATAATGGTAGTAGTAATGGTAATATCATAATATTAACACCAATGAGAACGAATCCGGCATCATCATTCCCAAAAGTTATTCCTACTTTAATCAGGCCAATGAAACGCTCAAGGATGTACCGTAGACATAAACAGTACCCAAACAAAAGGAAGACCCCCACACCGAGGAACAAAGTATGATACCGGTAATGCCGTAACTCAGGAAGAAGCAACCCACCGAGCAGTAGATCGGCGGCTCTGCGGAAGCGGCTCCCCTTTTTATTTCATTTTTCCCCCTTGACCCCTCATATCCTGCCGTTACAGAACCAGTCCCACCCTTTCTCCCCCTCTCGGATCATTCCGAGACCCTTGGCAATTCCTCACGAGTTAAGACCGTAAAAGCAGGCCATTACGGAATACTTAAGTTATCAACGGTGCACCCGTGGACTACGGTGCGGGTTCTTGAGCACATCTCACGCCCACTTCTCTCGAGGCGACGGCTTGACCCCCCCTTTTTTTTTGCAGAATTTTTTCATCCCTGTCTCTGGTGGAGATATGCCTCTTCTCTCTCCGCACCTGAATTCTCGTACGCCCCCCACCTCCCACCGCCCTCTTGGCTGAGTTGCGGTGGGGTACTCGCGAGAATTCACACAACACATTTCTGCAATGCCGGCAACTACGGGTGTCTGCTTTTTGCCCCGCTCACCCCCTCCTGAATGGGTGGATAGATGAGCGAGAGATAGCTAGCCAGTTGGCTGTTGGACGAGCACACTTGTACTCCATACAGGGCCCTTAAAAGTGGACCAATAGCCCACCGCCGGAAGTTATAACAGAGGTGATACTGGAAAGAAAGAAAGGGGGGAGAACACCTCAATCCAATCAATCTTCTCTTGTGGGAAGGGGTAAAAAGAAATAAAAAACCCCTCTCGAAGTGAAAATGTGACCAGGTGTTTTTTATATCTGTGAAAAGGGAGCAGAAGCAGCCAAGAAGATGGACAGCTAGGTGAATGGGAATCTGGTACGAGTAGCAGGGCAGGAAATATGGAGGGGGATGGACAAAGGGGGGGTAGACAGCAATGGCGTGAAGCGGTTTGATGTCCTACTACGTATACTCACGGCGCGCACGGTCTACCGGTACGGTGTTCTGTTCTATGGTAGGTACCGTGTGTGTAACAGCCCTTTTCGTGACGTTGAAGTTGGTCCTAAGAATTACGATATCAACCGGAATCGTACAGTATTGTGCAGCGCATTGCTTTTGCTTCAAGCCTCCCCCCTTTTGTCTACCAATGAACTACAGAGTGTACAGTACAAGTGTACCAAGGAATAGCGACAGCTGGGGCACTCGGGCATGTACCGATATGCAAACTAGGGGTAAAGGAAGAATTCGGGTTTTCCTACCTGACCGACTGTGCTAGCGGTATTATTATTTTCTACCTCTTCATCCTCCCCCTCCCTCCTGCCCCACCGTTCGCCACCGCAGCAGATTCTACAATGCCGGTACTCTATGGTATAGCGTGGGACAGCGCAGCACAGTACCAAATCCAGAGTTCGGGTATATTGCTCTACTCCAGCACAGTACATAAAGTCAACACAATCTCCCACCCGACAGGGTGTCTATCCGTCCACCCATCCATCTACCCGTTCAATCCATCCATACATATAGTGTACACATACATGTAATACATGCATAGCTGCATACATACGTATATCCGCGCCCACAAGCTAGTACCGGTAATCCAAGAATGATAAAATCAAACCCCATACAGTCAAGTACTGGTGTTTTTGCAGGGGGAGGAGGAACGGGAAAGAAAAGAAGAAGAAAATCATATAATTTACGTGAAAGTGAAAGTGAAAGTGAAGTGGCATGGATAGTGTACTCGAGCACAGTACCGGTACTTGAGTACCGTAGTATGCTGGCGACAAAAAGATGAGCAGAAAGGCGTGCATACAATAACCCAAACCATGCTGCGTCACTCCTTCCGTTCAATGCATTCTGAAGCTGTAAAAAAAAACCCTCCCCCCCCCCCACCGGCGGGGGCTGATAGTATGGTCCATAATTCTCCCGAATATCTCTCCAAGAACCCAGATCATTAAAGAATTGTTGGCTGCTTTAGCGACCAATATTGTAAAAGTTGATGCCTAAAAAAACGCCAAGCCAGTTCATTCCCCATGGAAAATCCTCAAAAATTGTGCCAAGACCAAGGTACTGTATCAGTACAAGCTATTGCTCTCTTCACAATCCCTCAACAAGTTTAGATACAGAGTTCTAAATGGCTAGGAAGCGGAATCTAGGGAATTGTTTCACAACTACATATAGGAGAGAACTTGGTCTGGATTTCTCCACTGGATCAGTGGTTGGCAGGTTGTGGGCGTCGCTGTGCCTGGTGGAAAACCCCTATGATACCGTACTCGTACACTGCTCATCTTTTTCCTCGCCAGCCTCGTACCGGTACTCAAGAGAAAAGTGTGATATGATATAATATCAATTTACCCTGTCGTTCGGTGAGTACAGTATCTATCTGCCTCCGATGTCAACCACAATCAAGAAGAGAATCCTAGTTCTCGTCCCAGCGTCATACCTGCACTCCAAGAGTGTGCGGTAAGCAAAAAAAGGAGAGAGAGAGAATGATGGAACGGAAGGCGCACAATGCAGCACGGCACGGTACTGTGAAACCGCACTTAAAACTATCCATCCCATCGTCACAGCTAGCGGGTGCTATTTACCGGTGCCCAAACTACCGTGTGATACAGTACTCGAGTACATTTACTGGTGCAAAGCACCAATAACAGAACCGACAAACGAACCAATTTCAAAAGGGGAAGAGCTCTCGATTCCTCCCCGGCTGCTCATTCAATCTGACCGAGTACAGTACTGGTATTCCCTCGGTGCCGCGCTTTGTACCACTGACTCTTGCTTAACTTTAGTCCCCCCCCCTCCATTCTCCCATCATCCTCCTCCAGCCCCCCACTAACTTATGTGTGGATGTGTGCGTTGGTATCGAGTTTAAATTTATTCGGGATTGTTATCAATATGGTACCACCGTCGTTCCGATTATTCCTTACGTGACTGACCGGTGTTCAATTGCATGGATGGGTATGTATATACATGCGCACATATATATATGCATATTTGGGTAGAAGATAGCGGTAGTGATATCAAAGAAGAGAAGCAAAAAAAAAAAAAGAATGAGGTCTGAAGATTCTGCGAGAGAGAGAGAGAGAGAGAGAGTAT